CGATTACGATTACTAATAATTATATAATATCCGCGCGCGCGCAAAGAGAATAGAAACAAATATTAATCTCCGGCGCCGTTGGCTGGCGGCGATCCGTAAACAATAATTCGCGTCGCGGTGGAAAATTAATTTTTACGACCGCGTCGATTAAACGCTCGGCGGTCACGCGGCGCCGCCCGAAAGCGCCCGGGGCTAATGATTCATCAATTTCAATTCCGATGATTTACACGCCTGCGAAATTACGCTCGGACGTTTTGCCGCGAAGAAATACGATCGGCCGCGGCGTAATCATCGCGCGAGAGCACGATGTATCAGGCCCCTCTCGCGCGTTCAATCGACCGGCCTTTTTTTCCCACCTATTTTCGACGAACCCCCTCGTGAGTGCGTTATTGCACCGGGCTGGCGGTCGTGCATCGAGAGCCGCGCGGTCATCGAGCCGGCTGCTGCATTATTTCCGACATAATCGCATTCGTCCGCGGTTTATCGGCTCGCCGTTAAATCGATATATCGGGCGCGCGCGGAAGGATAACCAGCGAAATGAGTTCCTCCGATGGAAATTTGTTCGCCCGCAAAATTTGCCGCTTATTCGGCACGTTCGGGAGCTCGGCGACGTGTACACCTTATCCGCGCGCGAAACAGCGCATGTGGTCTGAGGGCGGCCGGAGCGAGGACGGAAAAAGAACCGTATGAATACGGAATTTGGGCGAAAACGAGAAATCTCATCGGGAACCGCGCATGAATGAAAAACAGGGGGGGGGGATTAGAATATATTAAATGACCGTGTCGCGTAAAAGTGCACGCGCGTTTTTGCTTTGCGCGGCGCGCTTTATTTCGACGATAGCGCGCGGAGCCACTTCAATATACGCGTATCGTCGCAATACACTTCGCTCGCGGAGCCGCGGCAAGCGACGTTTTTAATCACCGCGAGCACCGAACACTAAAGGGAAAACCCGACAGTTATTGAGCTATTCAGCTCGCCGTGGGTGGTAACGCGGGTAACGCAGATCCCCAGTAAATCCTCATGTAAAATCGTGCAACGGCGGCCCTAGGTGCTTCGATTTACCGTGTTTTCGCTTCCGCCGCCGGCGATATAACGCGGTGAAATGGATCAACGCGTCGCGGACGGGCGGCGGCGTATAAAACAGAATTTACACGAGCTTTTAGCTATGCGTGCGCCGTCTCGCAAGACGGAGGGCCCGCATCGCCCTTGCACCCTCACCACTCGTCCTTGGACTTAACGAAGGAGCGATTGTTGCCAGCAGCGTCAGTGCCCGAGGAGCGCGCGCGAGTATCTTCACCCCCTTCGAACGCGCGTCGTCGTTATTGTCGTCGTCGTCTCTCTTGTACCGCGCTCCCAGCCTCGCAATTTATAACCCCCGCGGGAAACAGTCTCGCGGGCCTCTCTACCTTACCCGTCCAAGTCGATCTCCGAAACTTAGCTGCCGTCCCCGTTTTATTGGCCGCGATCTGTATTTACGATCGCCCGCGCCAGAGATGAACCGTTTTGTTCTACGCCGTTACACCGTCGATGTGCAACGGCGTCGGCTGCTGGGATGATCGATGGAGTGAAATTACGGATCTCGTTCCGCCGGAGCTATAACGTTATTCGTTTCTTCCGCGTTATTGGCGAATTACTGCGAATTATTAATGTCCCTGCTTCGTGTTTGTTCGGAAATTTGATGCGCGCGAAGAAGCCAACGGCGAATTCGGCTGCCCGCACTGGTGCGCACTGGGCGCACGTCGGGACCGGTTCGTGCACTGACAAAAACATTTTCTTTAAACTATTATAAGTAAATGGATTTACTTACAATTATTTCCTTTGCCGAGGTAAAAATTTATTCTGTTTAAATAGAGATACCAAATTTCAAGTAAAACTGTGTATTATATTAAGGAAATTAGTTGAAATCATTATATTTTCTACATTCGACTAAAGATTTCATGGGATAGAGAATACTAAAATTCCAAATTTTATTCGACCACAGCTCTGGCCGTTGTTAGTTTTTCTGTCAATGCAGAAAATTTATTGCGAAAAATATTACCTCAGCCAGGGTTTGAACCTGGACCTCCCTACACTCTAGGCGGGCTTTCGCTAGTCGCCAATTCGACCACCGAGGCATAGACAATACCATTTATTAAATGAAATCATTGTTTTTGTCAAATAAGAAATCAAATTTTCTTCGCTATAAAACTTGTATCTTATTGTCAGTGCGTACTCGGTGCGCACTAGTTGAAGCAACCGAATACGCTGTAACATCCGCGAATCGTGTGCTCGCGTAATCGTTTTATGCAGTCATTAATATTACATAATTGATGAAACCGGCGACGACCAGCAGTTTCGCGACTGTAAGCGAAAAATACGGTATTGTAGATTATCAATCAACGCACGGAAGGATCGATTAGTCCGCTATTCAGAGAGCCGTCGTTGCGAAAGTGGAGCTCATTGAAAAATTCTCCTCGAGCGAGCATCGAGTTCGCGGGCGAAATCGACCGCGGTTCTCTCGCATCGGTAACGCTCGAAGGTTCCTGCCACGACTTTTCCAGGGTAGAATGGAGAAGTATCGGCCGGAAATCTGAGGCCGCGCAGCCTTCCAAAGGGAGAGTATCGAGGCCGAATCGACGACCCGGAGAAAAAGAAACCGGTCACTTATCGAGCCTTCCTCACCAATGGTTTTCACCCGCAAACCTCTCCAAGCTCCTTTTCACGTCCGGAAAGCCGCGTTATCGCCGGATATCAACCCGGACTGCATCCCCGGAATAACGCCTCGTTCGCTCATACGTACGGAGTGAGGGACCCGCCTTTCCAGGAAGAAGAGGTACTCGCGGATTCTGGTCCACGGGATTTCTTTGTCGAGAAGAATCGATCCCGATGTGATATTCAGCGGCAAACATCGTTATTTGGAAAAGCACGGAGCGACAGCGCGAATCTTCCGGACACTAATCGATTCTGTTCGAGAGGATTCTGAATAAGCCGCGGAGACAGAGATGGGACCCGACGGAAACGTATTTTGAAAGAAAATTCCCACCCCGAGGCTCGCGCGGATCGAGCTGCGAGGTAATCGTCGAGTAAGATCGCGAACAATCGACGAAATTAATATCGTCTTTCGTCATCAGAGCGAGGTCGTTGCGCGGGCCGTTGGAGCTTCTGCGTGGATCGACGGTTTGACAGCAGAAGTGAACCCATTCAGTCAGACTCGGACTCGACGGGAATTGATAACGAGCCGCCGCTTGAATCCAAGCAGTCCACTCCGCGCGAGGGTTCCGGTTCAGCTAAATCCTCCGTTCGCGGGAATCCGCTCGACCAAGTGTGTCCGATTTCCCGCCATCGCTACGACCGTCAAGCGTGTCTTTTTTTTCCCAAGATTCCAAAGGGTGTGAATTATATGCGGCCGAAAAGCTGTCTTCTCCTCGCAAATGCCATGTAATCGTACAGAGTGAAGAGTACACGAAGAAGGGAGGGATAAGGTGCCCGCTATATATCGAGCGCTCTTCCATCCCCGCATCTGTCCCGCCTTGCCGTCAATCGGGGATGAACGCCGAGCGAAATTCACTCATGCGTGAGAGGTGAGACAACCGCGCGATCGGAAGTACGTGTCCCGATGGGACGGAATCGCATTTCCAGCGCGGCGCTACCAACGGAGAGAGAGGGAAGGAGAGGGAGGAGGAACGTCAGCGTCACACAGCTCGATGGACCACGAAGAGTCTAACGGAAGAAGGAACGGAGACGGCAGAAATCGCCGGAGACGGCATCCAGGGACAGAACTCGGTCGCTGAAAATCGGAGGAGCGGGGCGTAGACCACGACCTGGAAACGAGCGATGATCACGGGACAGTTCCTGGGAAATATGGGAGAATCCATGTCCTCGACCACTCGTGGACGGACGTCTTTTGTACTTTTATAAAAGTATCATCGTCGTCGAAGTGCGCTCGGGACCAATCGCTTAGTTTCCTTCCGTATTAAGGCTGTATCGATCATCTTCATCCTTCACGTCGTCGATACTCGGAAGAAACCGGTGCCTTGGTTCATTCGCTCTGGTATCTGCAGAAGCCTCGAGCCTGAATAATTCTGTCTCTCTCTCTCCCTCTCTCTCCCTCTCCGCCGGAAAGAAAAACGGACTGCAAATTAGGAAATTGCCAGCTATTTTCCGTCTAATCGGATAAGCGCTGCCTAATTGATGACCAAAACACGAATAAAATAAATCGCAAGCGTTCATTTCAATCCGCTGAAGAATTGGTTGAGCAAAACGAACCACCTGTCCACCTTGTTTCTACAGATCTTCGAAATTACTCGACGATTTCGTCGAAAGTTTAAACTTTGAAGGATTTAGAAGACGAATAAGAGACAGTTGCTTCATACAAAGGCATAAAACTTCTATTAACACGAGTCCGTTGTTTCACTTGAGAGCATCGCTTAGACACTTATCGAGCAGCCTTCAAGAAGAGAGGTGCCTTTGCCCATCTGCTCATTTTTCGACCAGTAAGTCGAGCTTTGTGTGTCTGAAAGCGGGAGAGAGAGAAATCCCGTAGTTTTATTGGATATCTCTTGTCCGTAATTGCGGGACACGCTCAGCCCAATGAATCGTCCACGAAAAATATTAAGCGTCGCGCTATCTCTATCCCCGGCAAGACTTTCACAGAACGGGGATCCTTAATTCCTGTCCGAATGAAACAGTCGGAAAATAAAAGTAATGAGACGTGTGCGAGGTCCGTTTAGCTTCCACCATTTCATTACGAACGAATGCAGTTGTAGACATTGTAGACGTCGACAACACAAGAGGAGTCTTGAAGTTAGGTCGGGAAAGAGGATACTGCGCGACAGATGTCAGAAGCTGCCAATGTGAACACTGATCTCTCTTGAGAAACAGCCAAGTCCGATAAACGATAATCATTAGTGTTCAACGAGCTACGAAATTAGACGAGCGATTCAGTTCTAGACGGGACAAATCGAAAGTGATCGACTTTCCAGGATAATCAATGACGATCCACTGCCAAATGAGAGCCTAATAATTCTGTACATCGCGAGATCGAGAGCGGGGCATTAAGGGGTAAATATCGACGACGCAATTGGAGCAAGTCGCCGGCGCTCGTCGTCCCATGCTTGCTTAGTTACAATCCTGTAGAAGTAAGCGCGTTAAGAAGAGAAGCGGGAGCAGGTGCGGAAAGAAAGAAGGAACGAGAGGTGGACAAATCCGCACTGAAGTCGGTGATGTGTCGCGCTGGCTCCCGGAGCCTCGATGACCTTGACCCCGCGAGCATGAAGCATCCATCGAGGTCAGCGGGTCTCGAGGTTGCTATGGCGCTCTTCGGCATGGTTTGGCTGCTGCGTGTCCGCTCTGAGATGCGTCGTTGCTCGAAATGTCGGCACGAGGAGATGCTCGCTCAGCAGCAGCAGCAGCATCAGCAGCAGGTGCAGCTGCAGCAGCAGCAGCAGCAGCAGCAGCAGCAGCACCACCATCATCACCACCAGCATCACCAGCAGCAACGCACCCTGTCGCAGGCTACCAGCCTACTGCAGACGATGTCCGACGACGTTAGCTCCTCCGCCAACACCCTCTTCACGTTGGACACTCCCGGAGCGGCTGGCCCGGCCGGAAGTTACTGCGAAGTGCACGGATACGTTCAGGCGAAAGAAGGTAGGGTGTCTCCCCTATCATATATGTTTCTTTGTCGATTACTTCCGTCGGGCGTACGATTTTTCAGCCAAACTATCGATTGTCGGTATACTGTTAGATTTTGTGTATAGTAAAATACAGCCCTGCTTTGTACAAGACCAAGGTTTTGGATTTTATAACTTCGTGTTATTGCGTACCGCGTGCATTGTGCCCTACCTTTCGTTAGTACGCGCCTTTCGAACGTCTCCGTGGAAGTCCATCGTCTCTTAAGCGCCCGAACGTAAGCTACGCGGAAAAGTTTCGGGCTCCGTGGGGGAAAGGAACGGAGGCAACGACGCGAAACTTTTGCAGGAATTGTACGGAATATAGCCGGCGGTGCGTGACTTGTATTGTTCGTATCGCGAAAATACGGGCGCGCGCGCGCGCGCGCGCGATAATAAGAGAAATCGTTTCGCGAAGAAAAGGAACGAGCCCGACGCAACTCTTTCGTATTCCAGCTTTGAAATACGACTAAATGTTAAACATCTAACTGGCGTACAAGGTGCCGTTAAGCGCAAAACACGTTGTAGTGCGCGGCGGAAATTATCGACATACAATTGTCACGACACGTCGGATACGCAAGTAGGGCGCTTGTTTCGCTCACTCCCCCTTCCTCGTGGACCATCCTGCAACACGACCTAGTTCGATTCCAGTCGCTTCTCCGTCATAAATTTAGAAAGTTCTTGCACTTCCGTTTTTCGATCTTGCTACGGTAATGCGGCCCCGGCATATTGCAAGAGCATAAGAAAACTTTGCCGAGTACGTGTCGTGATGCAGCCAAAACGCGGAGCGCTCGCTCGTTAGGAAACATTATCGATGAGACAGTGATGGATGGCGCGCGCTCGTGCATTTTAGAGCAGTATTGTGCGGGTAATAAAAAAGACTTGTAAAAAGTAGCACAGTCCGATCGGCGCGCGCCCCGCGATAATGTCCGTTGGAAAATCGAGTGGGACTTCCGCTCGTGGTGCGATTCGCGCGTAAAGGGAGGCGGCCGGCGCGGCGGGCTGTTGTATTGTACTTATCAGCGCCCTTCATCTGCCGGCCGCGACTGCATTATGGTGAGTTGCGGAGTTTGTTACGCGCGGCTTTTATACGGCGCCGTTATTGTCCCGCGGGCAACGCAAGGCTGCGTCCCGTCCTAGTCGTCTAAATGTTCGCGAAAGCGCGAAGAATCGACGCGTCGAAGCTGATATTAATGGCGTACGGAGTGACAATCGGGAAATGGCTGAAATTAATAGTGCCGTTACTTTTACATAAATATGGACCGGAATTATAATAAACACTGCTACTTTGAAAAATAACGGTTTGTTCTACTCTGCGGAATAAGTCATCATTTTTTTAAGTACATAGTTTAACATATATGTCCACGTATTTATGAAAGAACCCAGGAAACCACGGCATATAACTTAAATATAAATGTTATGTAACACGAGTGTCAAGAATGTTACAAGTAATATTAGAGGAAAGTCATGTTATTATGGGATAGACTCTTAATATGAGACAGCGGGGGTTTCTGCTAAATTAATGGACATCTGTTGATTCCACCATGAATTCATTGCCCTTGGAGTGAAGTCTGCCTTTTAGTGGAAGCTTGATTGTTAGACCGTGTAATCGTTGCGAAAAAAGATTTGTGATTGAATTTGAACGTTGAAAACCTACTATCTCATATTAGAATTCTATCTCATAATAGAAGACTGTTCTCTACTTGTAGCCTGAATGATACACAGTAGATATGACACTATGTCAGCAACTTTGAATCTATCATGTACATATATCACTTACATTTCAAATGATATATTACTGTAACATAGTCATATCTCATATACGGGGTGAGTTTTATTTCGTGAACCAGTCTTTTATCATGAGAAATGGATTACCGACAGAAACTGTAGAAAGCCAAGAAAATTATATACGTGTAACTGTGAAATGTCGACTGATCTCTTTCGCAAGGCCGTAATCTCGATTTTACACAATTTCCGGTTTTTCTGTTTAAACGCTCATTCTGGTCCTAAATGGGTGTTCACATTGTTCTCTTCACATGCGCTCCTTAATTTATATAACAATTACATTATGGTTTGCTGGGAACGTATCTGTGAAATTGTAAAAGTAAATATAATATCAGAGACAAACCCATATATTCAGAGGCTCTCGGCGTGGCCAGTCATTTCCATGATAGGAATTTGCCTGGAGCTCTTGGATGACACAGTTACAGTAATTAATGTCAGAAAGTGTATTTAACAATTTTCAGAAGCGTCCCAGTTATTGAGCGAGCTTTAAACGTCCATTTCGAGAGCATGTATCATTGAGTCATTCAAGTAGCTAAACTTTTCACCTTCTCCTGTAATATTTATTTTCACAAGTTTACATAGCTACGTAGGTATAACGCGTACTGATAACAAAAATGACGGGTTCTCTTTTCTCGGCATAATAGTTGATCCGTCGCTCGCATTATATGAAATAATATCTCCTTAGTCTCGGTGACTTTTCAATTATCCGCGGCGGTTGAAACGCGACCGGCAAATGTCAACTGGCTTTTCATCCAGGCAGTCTTGAACTGGAAAACGTTACCACATAACGCGCGAGACGCTAATGCATGCTACCGCGCAAGACGGGGATTAACGGATGAGTAAGTCGTTTTCAGTTATTGTAACGGTCCTTCTTAGCGCATAGCTGAAGCTAAGCAAGTCGTTCATAGTATACACATAACGGATGCATGACGGTGACGAGAGTTACTTACTGTCGGCATCTGAGGGAAAGTCGACTTTAAGCCGCAATAACAGGATTAATTTGTGTCTATCCATGTATGGACTTCTGTAAATTATTACACGAGCATAAGTAAAACGAGCCGACAACATACCTAATTAAGGGGATGCTGGAGTGATTCTGCACTTTTGGCACCTTTTGCCCCCTAGAACTGTCAATTCGTGAAAACATTTGTGTAATATACAAATTACGTGGCTTTCGTGTACGAACCGACAGTGTTCCACTATTCGGACTAAATCGGAGAACAGCATGGTATCACTGAAATTAAGTTCAGGAGCCTAACAAAAAATCTATTCACTTGTTAGGTAATCTGTAACTTATTCGAGTGAATAGACTTCTTGTTAAGCTCCCAAACTTAATTTCAATGATGCCACGCTGTTCTTTGACTTAATCTGAAGAGCGGGACACTGTCGGTCTATACACAAAAGCCACATAATTTGTATATTACGTAAATGTTTTCAATTGACAGTTCTAGGAGCGAAAGGTGCCAAAAGTGCAGAATCACTAAAACATCCCTTAACGAAAAACGTATTTTTCACGGCACGACGAGTGCGGTTTTACTCGTCGCGATTGCGACTAAGAGGAGAGAAAAGAAGCGGATGTTCGCGGGGCTAAAACAGATGAAGCTCAGTAAATTTTTTATCCTTCTTGAATAATCATTTTGCCCGCCCGCTGCGCCGACAAAGCCGCGCTTTTGCTAGTTACAGTGCGACGTGTGTAACTAAAATCCGCGTAGCTTCTCCGGAAAGAGCGACAGGCGTGGAGAGGGAAAGGGCCTCTTGCCTGGCCTGGGTTGTCTCTTTTCTCTCTTTATCTCGCATCAGCCCGTGGCCGCACTGACACTAGCACGCATACGTACACGTACGTATCACGTACGACCTAGTTATGAAATAGTTTTCCTCGCGCGCGGCATAACGGCGACTCAGCGGTATCGCGCTTTAAAGCTGAAAGCATGTTCGTGTTGTGTCGCGAACGCCGGTCGCCGTATTGTTTCGAGTTTATTATCTTCCATCCAGCCCGTGTCCCGCGGGGACGCAGAGGGCCTGGATAAAATGGAACGGAAGAACCGGTTGAGAAAGTAGGGGACAGGGGTAGGAAGACCGGGAAAAAGTTTCGGACTTTCGCGATAATAACACCAGCGCCGTTCCGTTTCTGCCCCGGGACGCAATTTTTCCCGTAGACGCAAGGCTCTCTAACTGAAAATAATTCAGACGACACGTGAATCGGAATCGGATGGCACTTTCAGAGTTTACCACCTTCCGCCAGATCGAGATTGTGGTGCGGTAATTCGTGGGAATTGCGAGGGGGAAAAAAATCGGAGAGAAGCCACGGCCTCTCGGTTGATATATTTGCAATAACATAAGCCACGTCAAGCCCATCCGTCCCTCCGACGGAAATTTCTTATTCCAGGAGTGCCGAAGCAGAATTGAAAAATGTTCGAGCCAGTTGGATGCCATTAAACGATTGCGACGGACAAAGGCGTTACGTCTCTTCGTAATTCTGAATACGTATATATATATGCGGTGTGACGTAATTTCGCGAAAATAAAGGTAGTTAGGCGAACCAACGTCCGTCGCTGTGCCGCACTAATGAGTATAATTAAAAAAGTCCGTTCCTGAAGCCGCTCAACGCGCGTTCTGCGTACGTGACATGTTATATTAAAAGGGAATTTCACAATTGTCTGCGAAATAATAATATACTCATTCGTTATAAGATATAGAAATTAATTCGAGTTTGCATATTCTTTCAATAAATTCGATCCGAAATTATTTATTTACGAAACGAGCGATGCAACATGTCGGTTGACAAAGAGAATAGAAAATTAGGGATTGGTTAAAAGCACGATCGATACGTATTTATCAATTTAATACAATCCGTTACCGAAAAGTAATTTTGTTGCGAATTGGTCTCGTTAGGAAAAATATCCAACAAACGTAATCGAGCTAGCTGGGGGAGCTGAGAAGACCGGAAAAGCCATTTCAGTATTTTCGTAGTCAAAGGACAAAGGCTGCGCCGATTTCAAACGTTTGTCTCAGTTTTAATTTTCAGCGCTGTCCTATATGCATACTCCGACGGGATGTTTAAAGTGCTTCGTATATTTTATCTGTAACAGATTTAGGTCGTCGGTGAGAAAATATTGTTTCTCGCCGTTTGCAAATTTGCAACAAAATTTTAATTACGTATTACGCCGGTAGGTAAAATATTTCTTCGTATTTTCA